GGCACCGGCCACATAAACCCAGTTAGAGGGTAGTGGCTTCAAACCCAGCCCAGGCCTGCTAAACGACAATGACAACTCCAACCAAAAAATAGCCAGGCATTGTGGCGGGCGCCTATAGTCCCAGCTACGAGGAGGCTGAGGCAAGAGAACTGCTTGACCTCAAGAGTTTCAGGTTACTGCGAGCTGTGACAATTACAGTTGTTTAACTCTCTGAGTTAACTTTGTACATATATGAATATGTAATATGTAATGAATATTTATGTTTTTGTGCACTTTTTAAGATGACAAAGAACTACATAGAGACTGACATAATAAGCACCAATTAGGACATTTCTTTAAAAAATTTTATCTCGGGGGGTGCCTGTAGCTCAAAGGAGTAGGGCACCAGCCCCATATGCCAGAGGTGGAGGGTTCAAATCCAGCCAAAAACTGCAAAAAAAAAAAAATTTTGTCTCTAGGCTTGGCACCCGTAGCTCAGTGGCTAGGGCACCAGCCCTATATACCAGGGGTGGTGGGTTCGAAACCAGCCTGGGCCTGCTAAACAACAATGACAACTACATCAAAAAAATAGCTGGGCATTGTGGCAGGCACCTGTAGTCCCAGCTACTTGGGAGGCTGAGGCAGGAGGATCACTTGAACCCAGAGGTCTGAGGGTGCTGCATGGTAGGCTGACACTATAGCACTCTATCCTGGGCAAGAAAGTGAGATTCTGTCTCAAAAAACAAAACAAACAAATGTAGATATAAACTAATTAATTATAGAAGAAATTTTAAAATAATAATTCTACTGAAAACAACATATATAATTGGCCTTATCTATAAAATTACTCAGGATAATTGCTATAAATTATTCAAAGTGCCTTTACGGACCCTTTTCTTTTTATGATCATTAGTTCTGTAAACAAGTTCACTATGAATCTGTCCATCTTCCTAACAGGATCTAATTGGGTAAATCAGATTTGTAACCATGACTGTGCCAGAAATGGCACATTTAAAGACAAATCTCATTTAATTTACTAATTTACAATGACAAGCCAGATAGTCAGAAATGAGGACTGTCCTCAAATGTGCCAGGCCTCTCAGAAACTAGACTGGACCTGCTTCATGGCTTGTGGAATTCCAGCCTTGAAGTTTGTAAAAACCCCCATTAATTCCTGTTAGTCCAGGAACACTGACAACCTAGGGGATTTTCTTTTCTCTTTTTTTTTTAAATTTCGGATTAATGTGAGGGTACAAACAATTAGGTTACAATGTTTGCACTTGTTAGGTAGAGTCCCTTTTATAGTTGTGACTATATATATAGTCCCCAGGTGTGCCATATATCCTTACATTGTGCCCATTAAGTTGGAGCACACCCACTCCCTCCCTCCTCCCCCATGATGAACTGAACTGAGTTTCTCTCGCATGTGAGCATGTATTAAATTGTCTACTGGCTTCATATTAGTAATGAGTACACTGGATACTTGCTTTTCCATTCTTGTTACATTTGATCAAGAATAACCTAGAGCATTTTCTTTTCTTTTCTTTTTTTTTTTTTTTTTGAGACAGAGCCTCAAGCTATCCCCCTGGGTAGAGTGCTGTGACTTTACAGCTCACAGCAACCTCCAACTCCTGGGCTCAAGCGAGTCTCCTGCCTCCGCCTCCCAAGTAGCTGGGACCACAGGCGCCCACCACAACGCCCGGCTATTTTTTGGTTGCAGCCGTCATTGTTTGGCGGGTCCAGGCTGGATTCGAACCCGCCACCTTAGGTGTATGTGGCTGGTGCCTTAGCCCCTTGAGCCACAGGCGCCGAGCCTCCTAGAGCATTTTCTAAAAAGAGGGTTCCCATCACATTACACAGGCTGTATAGGCACACTGTGGCAGAGGTCAACTGCACGGTTCCAGGTTCCGGAACTCGGAAAACATGATAAGCGTTTTTCACACACACAATTAAAATCCTGGCCAGGGTTTTACAAAGTCTCCTGACAGTTAACTCTCAGGCCTTTGTTACATCAAGCGCCCCAATTTTAAGATCCATACAATCAGCAGGATGTTATTAATCAAGACCTTGTTTACACATACCTGTATATATAAACCTGGCCAAATTAAAAAATACCGAAGTCACAACAAAATCAAAAAATGCTGAAGCAAACTTAGGTGGTAAGGTCTGTGCCTTAGGAGGCACAAGGATGAGAAAACAGACCTTCCCCTGATGCCATTCTGCCATTTGCCTCTTGCTATCAAATCTACACATCGTGCCCCAAAGTCGGAGAAATAGATGAGGTGAAACATTTTGCACCCTGGGATAAAAGATACAGGGACGATGGAGATAAACTCGTAAATAACAAAACCCGAAATTAATAGATTTTTAAAAAGGCAACTTCTGTATAGAATTAGCCCCCAAAAGAGAGAAAAATCTTTTTTTTTTTTTTTTTTTTTGAGATAAAATCTCACTTGGTCTCCCTGGGTAGAGTGCCATGGCAACATGATAGCTCACAGCAACCTCAAACTCCTGGGCTCATGAAATCCTTTTGCCTCCGTCTCCCAAGTAGTTGGAACTACGGGCACCTGTCACAACACCTGGCTAGTTGTTTTTGTTTTGATTTGTTTTTTCTATTTTTAGTAGGGACAGGGTCTCACTCTTGCTTAGGCTAGTCTTGACCTACTGAGCTCAAGCAATCCACCTGCCTTGGCCTCCCAGAGTGCTAGGATTACATGTGTGAGCTACCGCACCAGGGCTAAAAAACTTGATCTCTTTCTACAAGTCACAAACTCTACAGCGAGAGCAATTTCAGTCCTAACTTCTACAATGCTGTCATCGGCAAACATGTGACAATGCTCATGGAGATGACAGTCATCATGTGAGAAATCTATTTCTCCCCTCTGAACAAATGAACTCCAATCTTGGTCATCTTTGCTTGTTTTTTTTAATTTATTTTTTTGTTTGTTTTTGAGACAGAGTCTCACTATGTCACCCTCAGTAGAGTGCCATAGCATCATAGCTCAGAGCAACCTCAAACTCTTGGGCTTAAGCAATTCTCTTGCCTCAGCCTCCCAAGTAGCTGGGACTACAGGAGCCTGCCACAACACCCAGCTGTCTTTGGTTGGTATTTTAAAATACCTATGTCATTCTACTGAGCCAGTCTCTCCGACCTCTATACTCCCGTGAATAAACTTTTCTTTCCTTAAAGCATTTATACCTTTGAACTGCCCTTTCACATAATCAATGAGACTGTCGCCCATGAGGGCAGGGACTTTTGTCTGTTTGGTTCTCAGCTGGATTCCAAGCACCCAATGTAGTGTCTGGCACCGAGCAGAGGCTCTGTAAATATTTGTTAAATGGATGGCCAGACCTGGCAGCTCACACCTGTAATCCTAGCCCTTTGGGAGGCTAAGACAGGACTGCTTGAGCTCAGTAGTTCGAGACCAGCCTGAGCAAGAGTGCAACTCCATCTCTATTTAAAAAAATAGGCTCGGCGCCTGTAGCTCAAGTGGCTAGGGTGCCAGCCACATACACCAGAGCTGGCGGGTTTGAATCCAGCCGGGGCCCGCCAAACAACAATGGTAACTACAACCAAAAAGAAAAAAAAATAGCTGGGCATTGTGGCAGGCGCCTGTAGTTCCAGCTACTTGGGAGGCTGAGGCAAGAGAATAGCTTAAGCTCAAGAGTTAGAGGTTGCTGTAAACTGTGATGCCACAGGACTCTACTCAGGGCAACAGCTTGAGACACTATCTCAAAAAAAAAAATATATATATATATACACATATATATATGTGCACATACATATATACACATGGTGGACATAAAGTTTGTATGCAATTTTCTAGGTAAACTATTTTAAATTACACACAAACTTTATGTCCATCCTATACTTGTTAAATGGATGAATCATATGCTCTATAAAAGCTAGTTCTATTTGTTAGGCAGAGTGGCTCATGCCTATAATCTTAGCACTCTGGGAGGCCGAGGCAGGTAGATCGCCGGAGCTCAGGACCAGCCTGAGCAAAAGTGAGATCCCATCTCTACTAAAAATGGAAAAACTATCCAGGTGTTGTGGCAGGTGCCTATAGTCCCAGCTACTTGGGAAACTGAGGCAAGAGAGTCTCTCAAGCCCAAGAGTTTGAGGTTGCTGTGAGCTATGACACCACAGCACGCTACCAGAGCAACACAGTGAGACACTGTCTCAAAAAAAAAAAAAAAAAAAGAAAAGAAAATCTGCCTTCTGTAATTTGTTAGTCATAAAGAGGCTAATGCTAGACAAATTAACAAGTATAGCTCTGTTACAGGAAAAGAAAAAAGAACTAGTTCTATTTATTCCATAAATAAGTAGAACCTCTATAGTTGACCACCTCCCTACACTGACCAACTCAAGGTGACCTAATTTTCACAGATCAGCCATGCACCACATGTACATATCATCAATATAGTAGACCCAGTTCCTGTGTTGACCACCTCCACATGTCGCCCCATTTGTTACAGTCCCTTGGGTGGTCAACTTACAGAGGTTCTGTGTTTAGCAAATGCCTACTGCTTATCATGTGCCACACACTGGGGATGTGGAAAGGGAGGAGATCAAGGCCTTGCCTTCAAGAACTCCTAATAGATTGTACTGTGACAAGCACACACAGGGCCCCTGGGAACAGAGGCCAGGTACCTTCCCCAGCTTGAAGGATCAGGGAGGGCTTCCTGGAGGAAGCTAGACTGAGAAATGGATAGGAGATGGCCTGACAATTAGGGAAAAGAAGAAGGTTTCTGTAGTAAAGGATACAGCTTGTGCAGACCTGGAGAAGAGAACTGTGGAAAAGTAGTGCAGTAGTGAAAGCTGAGCTGAGACCAGTGAGGTCCACAAGGGTCAAGGCGTAAAAGGCCTCAAATACCAAGCAAGGAAATTTGGTCTTGACCCCAGAGGCAAAGGGCACCTAGAGAAAGTCCTTGCCCTTCTTTGCACCAGCTCCATGCACCAGGCCATAGGTGCTGAGCTGAAACAGGATGCGGGAGGTTGCACCAGGCAGACCACTCACCTGGTATGCTGCTGGAGGTGGGAGAGCTGTCGGAAGGACTTATCACAGTAGGAGCAGTGGTAGGGCTTGACGCCCAGGTGGATGCGCAGGTGCTGGGCCAGGTAGGAGGCGTTGGCAAAGGACTTGGAGCAGTGCGGGCACTTGTGGGGCTTGGCCTCTGTGTGCGACTTGGAGTGGATCTGCATCTCCGACTTGGTGAAAAAGGTCAGCGGGCATACCTTACACCTGCGGGGCAAGGGGCAGGTTCACACCTGGGGAGATCCTCCCGGCCCCTGCCTGTACCTTTCAAGGAGACCTTCTATGTCAGACAGAACTCAGACCTGTGACAGATCCTTCCTGGGAGGACCCGGGAGGCCCAGTCCTACTGAAAGATGGGGGTCAGTCTCCTAGCCTGGGCACCTTCCAATCTGGAGAAGTTGTTCTTACATCATGGGGAGCATTTACAGCTCCAGGGGAAGACCTTAGGCCTCATGATCCCAGTAAGGGATTGCCTAGGGTCACAGATCTAGGGGAGAAGGCTCTACCATGCTAGGTAGTTCTCAAACTCGCTGCACAGCTATCTGGGAAGCTTCCAAAAAACACTGTGCCTACCTCTCCAAACCCCACACTCTCTCAACAAATCAACTTGGAATTCTGGAGGTATAGCCCTGGCATTAGCATTTCTGAAATCTCTTCATAAGATTTTTTTTTTTTTTTTTTTTTTTTTTGAGACAGAGCCTCAAGCTATCCCCCTGGGTAGAGTGCCATGGCATTACCGCTCATAGCAACCTCCAACTCCTGGGCTCAAGCGAGTCTCCTGCCTTAGCCTCCCAAGTAGCTGGGACTACAGGCACCCGCCACAACGCCTGGCCATTTTTTTTGGTTGCAGCCATCATTGTTGTTTGGCGGGCCCGGGCTGGGGATTCGAACCCGCCACCTTAGGTGTATGTGGCTGGCGCCTTAGCTGCTTGAGCCACAGGCGCCGAGCCATCTTCATAAGATTTTAAGGTGGCCAGGGTTGAGAATATTGCTTAAATGTACGAGGAAACAGACCCTCACACCCCTAGGCTGTGGGGTGACTACCAGTTACAGACCACCCTGAGGGGCTAAGGTTCTAGTAAACCCTTTCCAAGCCCCATCTCCAGGAGGGAGGATGTGGGCAGCATTTGCCAAGAGACTCTGCCTCCTGGACACTGGCCTCCCCAACCTCAGCCCCAGCTGATGGGCTCCTAGGGCAACCCTGGCCCAAATCCCAGTCCCAAGCCCACCCAGACCCTGTCCTGTTACGACCCCCACCTGTACGTCTTGCCCTCCTTGGCAGTCTCGCCCGAGGCCAGGATAGGGTAGGGGACTACTAGGACAGGCGGACCCCCTGGGTTCTCTGCCTTGATCTTTTTGCGGCCGCGTTCGGACTTGGGGGGGCCAAGCAGGCCATGGCCCTGGATTGTCTTGATGGAGTCCAGGAGGGGGGGGCTGGTGATCCCTGAGATGAGGGTGGGGGACGAGGCGATGAGGCGGCTCTGGCTGGTGGTGGTAGGTGTGGACGGGGTGCTGGTGCCCGTGCCTGTGCCCGCACTTGACTCGGATGTGCTCACAGCCGGAGTCCGGGAGGAAAGCCCCAGACCTGTAAGACATGCAGATGGGGGTCGAGGGGTGAGGGGAGCTGGAGAGGCAGCTGTCCCTGCCTGCCCAGCTGTGTGACTTGGGCAGGCCACCGATCTCTGAACCTCCCCTCCCCGTTCATACCTTATTACCCAGGCGTAACTAAATAACAGTCTATGTATGTGTAAGATCCCTTCCATACCTTAAAACTAAGAGTTAGATAACAGAGGCCCTTTGGAAATAATTCAAGCAAAACTACAGAGGCAACTGAAATATGCAACATTAGGAAGGGTTCAGTACGCAGTGATCAACCTCCTCTCCTTAACAGCCCATTAAAAAGGTGGTTATTTTTTTTTTAATGAACTACATGGGCGTGCACAGAAAAAATAAGTAGGAGAGGATGTGCCAAAATGTGGTGCAGATGGTAGAATTAGGAGTAATTTTTTTTTTTTTAATTTGCCTTAACTATACTTTGCAATTCTTTTACAATGAACTTGTAAAAACTCCTGTAACAAAAATTATTCTTTTAAAAATGAAGGAATTAGAAATGTTATGGTGGCTCACGCTTGTAAAACTAGCACTCTGGGAGGCCAAGTTGATCCCATCTCTACTAAAAATAGAAAAAAAAAAATAGCCCAGTGAGTTGTGGTGGACACCAGTAGTCCCAGCTACTTGTGAGGCTGAGGCAAGAGGAATTCTTGAGCCCAAAAGTTTGTGGTTACTATGAGTTATGACACACCACAGTACTCTACCCAGGGTGACAAGAGTGAGACTCTGTCTCAAGAAAAAAAGAAAAACAACAAAAAATCTGTGCATTGAAAAAAATAATATGGAATTGGAAAAAGTAAGTTTTGTATCATACACTGGTGATGGGAGTGTACATTTGTGCAGCCTTCATGGAGGCTAGTTTGGCAATAGCCATTCAAATTTTAAATGTACAAAAACTTTTGATTAAGCAAATCTGCTTCCAGAAATGTTCCCACATGAGCACAAAGATCTGTGTACATGGGCCTTCCGTACAAAACTGTGATCAGACACAATAGGACATAACTGTCCTCAGTAGGGGACAGACTTTTTTTTTGCAAACAGACGTCCATCCTCAGTACGGAGGACTACACAGCCACTAAACCAAGACTGAGGTGATGCCGAAATATGCTGTTGGGTGAGAAAAGCATATCACAGACATTATGAGCCCAACACACTCACCCTACATATGGTGTGAGGACAATATCTGTGTGAGTACACAGGGAATTCAGAGACCCATTGAACTGCTAACTGTGGTTCTCTCTAAGGAAGGATAAGAAATTTCATAAAAGGAGATTTTCTTATTTTGTCTACCTGCTTCTATATTATTTGAATCTTTCACCGGGCAAATTCATCCATTTTTTACTCGTGTGATTAAAGGATAAAATACAATAAATTGTAGGGAAAAACATAAAAATTCAAACATTAGTAGGACTAAGGCTAATTTTTTTCTCTTTTCAACTTGTCTGCAATTTCTAAATTTTCTATAATGACGATGTATTAGCCTCATAACAGAAAATGAATAAATATATGTATAATAGAATGGTTAGTACGAAAAGCAAGTTAAAGTCGTGAGTACAGCCCTACCACAAGCAAAACACACATGCATATTAAAAAACTAGCAAAAAATATGGAAAAGGAAGGAAATAGACCAAAGGCTCTCTAAGCTTCTGAGCTGGGAACTAGGGATTATGAGTGATTTTTTGGGTTAGTATCTCTTTTTTCCAAATTTCCCTTAATATGCTTATATTAGTTTTTTAATATTACTTTTATAATGAAAAAATAAATTTAATAAAATCATAACAACAGGGGATGTGCAGAGTGTGTCTCTGAGAGAAGGAGGGAGAGGCAGAGGCGCCTGGCTGGCGGCAGGGAGTGAGCCAGGGGAGGAACGAAGGCCCTACCACAGTGACCCCTAAAGAAAGTCTGTCTACCAGGCTTCAAGGAGGGCCTCGGGTGGCTCCAACCCCTTGACACTATGCCAGGATGTCCCTCTGGCACTCTGGCCTCTACCTAAGACTGAGCTCCCCTCAGTCCCCAGTGCTGTTCTTCCTTCAGTGACTGCATCACAGGGGCAGTTCCCTGGGAGACTTGCTCATCTGCCTCACCAAGGCCTGTCCACCCTTCTTCCTCAGTGTGCCCTCGATCTGTCCACTTCTCTCCAGCCCTATTGCCCCTGCCTTGTCTAGGCCACCATCCTCTCCTGATGGTCTCCTTGCTTCCTTATTTGTCCACTGACAACCCCGTCTCTATCTTGCAGCCAGACTCAGCTTCCCCTTGCCAAATCTGAGCCTTTCCTTCCCCGACCTAAAGACCTTCAATGGCTCCCCGCTGCCCAAGGGTAAAGTCCAAACTGCTCAGTGTGGCTCACTGGGCCCTCCTCATCTGGTGACTGCTTCCTCTGCAACAGCACAACTAGGTATAGAAAAAGGGTTAAGAAATGGGATCTGGGCTCGGCGCCTATAGCTCAACCGGCTAAGGCGCCAGCCACATACACCTAAGGTGGCGGGTTCGAATCC